TAGAAATGCTCTTAAACCTAGGGATATAATTGAACAGGGCAGAACCTACCTAGCAAGTGCAAGGTCCTTTGTTTGATTCTAGGAGAAAAAAGGAATAGTTCTCAAAATAAAACTGGGAGTTATATAACATCCAGTTCTCCATTTTAAGGGACTTTAACCTGAGACACCAGAAGCCCAATGAGAGCTCACTTCCCTCGCTGCTGGCTTGTTTTAATGTCGAGTGCACGCCCTGAGGGTCTTTATCATATTTCCAAAGGAGAGCAGCACATCCTCCCACATTCAGAGTTATCTCTCAGTGAAAGAAGAACTATGACATTGATATAATTATGCTGAGTGAGAAATCAGCTGTTTACTTTCATTGAACGTTGGCGATATGTCACCCATGTTTCAAGTACGTCATTCTCTTCAATTCTGGGTGACGGTTCAAGCTAAACAAAACCTGTGCGAGAAAGGATTTTGGAAAGAATTCTTTTTTATCAGAGGAAAAGTAATGACAAATGAAAAACCATTGCCATGATTTTCTGTAACTCAGGATGTAATCTGGTGTGATGTGGAGAGCATCAGGGCATCTTGGGGTTCTCAGAGGGACATCTTGTGATAATCCTGCTGGGGCTGCCAGCTTGCTCAGTGGTTCCATCTGATGGAGGAAGAACCTGTCAAGGTGGCTGATCAGTCTCCTAAAGAGGGTGTGAGAGGTGCCTGCAGGAGCCCTTTGTGCCTGGTTTCTGAGGAGAAGCCCAAGCAAGGTCTCTGAAGACTCCCTGTGACTTTTTCATTTGAGTTCTATGGGGTCTTCTGGGAAGCTTGTGTGAGGTCCGTGAGGTCTACATGGGAGGGCAGGGACATCTCTGTGTAGATTCTACATAGGTATCTGGGAGAGGTCTTTGCAGGAGATCTCACTGTCAGGTCTCTGTAGAAGGCCCCAGGTGAAAACTCAGTGGAAGGTTCAGTGTCAGGGCCTGTGGGGACACAGGGTGTCCCTGAGGGGTCTGTGAGTGAAGGCTCTGTGGATGCCATGTATTGGTGTCCCTGCATGATCTTACTTGCCGCAGCTATTTGGGGATGTCTGTGCAGGATCTCTGAGCAGCAACAGGAGGACTCAGGGCCATGTGAGCTTCCTGTGGGAAATCTCTGAGGGAGGTTTCAGTGTTTAAATCTTTCATGGGACAAGAGGTTTTCAAGTCCAGTCTACACTGCTGGCCTCACTGCACCTTATGGAGACTGAGTGACAGATGAACAAGAAAACGTGCTCCTCTGTGTGCTGTGCCTGGCCTACTGCTTATCCAAATTGTGGCACTTCCTGGCAGGAGAACTGCGGTCCATGTCCTGGTCCTCCATGTGCCAGAACATTCCTCATGGTGTCCTCAGAACCTAGCAGCAGTCATGAGGTCATATAGCTCAGCCTGAGGTCAGCTTCCCCACTAGGTGTCACTTTCCTCTCATCTCCCAAGGGAATGGGGCACTCTCAGGCTTGGAGTCCAGCCCCTCCTATAGGTCCTGGCTCTTCTCTCATGGCTGGGTCTACTCTGCTGGCTGTTCCCCTTGCCTGCATCACCCCCATTCGGGTACGGGGCTGTTGGAGCTGTGGCTGTGTGTCATGCAGCATAGAAAATGCTCTCTGGAGAAATGGTTGCTCATCTCCTTGCCTTTTGAGTCACTCTGCTTTCCCATAAGGACACTGACTCAGAGGAAGGGAAACCCATGCTACAAGCAGAGTGAGAACAGAGCAGACACTCTTCCTGGGCTGGCCTCTGTCCCTGGCCATTTGTTCAGTTCTTCGAACTTCTTGTGTGTTCACACCTAGTGTGATGCCCCTTTTGCTTTTTCTGTGGTCTCTGCAGTAAGAAAGAGCTGGCACACTGGCAAGATTTGCGGTGTGAACCCAGGGCAGCCTCTTGACACTTGTAAGTCCCACACACCCAGGAGCAGTCACCCATGAGTCTGATGCCTCATACTGAAAACCAACCAACCAACACAACAATAAGAAAACTGAACTTCAAAAAAATACAACTCATGTATCAAGTCTCCTGCCTGAGCTTTTCCTCCTCTACACTGGAGAGGGGGACACAGAGGAGCTTATCATAAATGAATCTTCCCAGTTTGCCTTCTCCCTCAGAATTCTGGCTTTCTGTGTGGGAGCTAATGTCACAGGAAATGGCCCCTCCACCCACTATACATGAGGTTATTAATTGCGCAGGTAATAGTTTCTGTTTCCGTTCCAGTCGCTCTTCTTACACCTTGTACAAACCAGTCCCCAGGTTGCAATCCATTCTGCCTTTGTGCTTCCTGCTTTTATAAGCCCTAGACCACCCAACGTGAGAGCCTAAATTTTAGGAATGATCCTGACCGTTGACGACTGCCTTCCCATAAGGACACTGTCCCAGAGGAAGGGAAAGAGTGAGAGCAGAGCAGACACTTTCTGTGCCGGCCCCTTCCGCATCACAACAATATCTGGGTGTTGTCTGCATGTTTCTGCTCACCATTGCACTAAAGTTGGCTTCTCCAGGTGTGAGATAAGGGCTCTGTACAACTGGGACTGTTGTTTGGGGCCAGGTCCAGTCTCTTGGCCCCCATGGTTTCCTGCTTTCTGTGCTGGCCAATGGCAGACCAATCTCAGGCATGCTTCATCCCTGTCCCATTCTGTGTCCTCACACCCTGTGCTTCCTTTATGGATTCTAATCTTACTGCTTCCCCCACATCCCACCCTTGCTCCATGGTTCCTATAAGCTGTTTATGCACACAGATATTTTGTGTTCCAACAACCCAGAACTGTAGGATCAAAGGGAGGTAGACCAAGTTAGGGGCCCTATCAATGGGGCGATTCACTGTTTCATTGGCGCACAGTTGGATGTGGCCCTCATTGGCCTTGCTGTCTGCTCCACACAGGGTTTCCTACACAGTGATGGATTTTCTGTCCTCACCAGGGCTCTACATTGTGAGGAGTATCAAGGTCCTGCGGTTGGATCTCTGAATGCCTTAGCCAGGTGGTAGAGCTTTCCAGGGGGAGGTATCAACTATTCACTAGGAAGACATTAAGGACAGGATCTTTAAGCCTCAGAACTCAGGGCCTAGTTTCCTCCCATGCCCACTGCCACCCATTTTAGGACAGGTGTGACCATAGACACTAACCTTGTTGGAGCCTGTTGGGGAACTCTTAGCCTAAAATGTACCCTTTTAGCTCCTGATCCTTACTTCTCCCTGAAGGTAGAGGGAGCCATGGAAGATGGTTGAGGCAGAACTTGTGGTAGGATCATCTTGTTTCGCTTAGCTGTGAAAGTTTCATTTTGCTTCTGAAATGATGATGGTATTAGGGAAACTTGAGGATCTCTGGAGGAACTCAGGGTAAGAGTGGGTTTACACCTCTCTGTCATGCTGCACCACATGACTTCCCCTGTAGATGCCATAGTTATCAACAAGAACAGAGCAGACAGAAGTTACTACCCCCTTAGGAGGAAATCTAGGTTTATTGGGCCATGGTAATTTTCATGGATTGGGAATACCGGGATCTAATTTATTACATAAAAAATTAATATTTTTTGCAGATGTTGTTGAAACGATGGTGAAAAATTTTCTAGCTGAGCATAAAGTACACACCCCTAACAGATGGGGTGCCCTGGGCAGGAATGGAGTCTCGATGCTCTGGGCTCTGTTGGATCATGATGCGAGATAATGGTTGGAAACACAGCCTCATTGGAGGGTTCCATTCCCACACATGGGTGGGAATGCTTATGGCCCTGTGCTTTGATGACCTGTCCAGTATTCAAGGACTCTTAGTTGCTTATGTGCCTCTCTCTGATCAAATAGATGTGGCA